TGGATTTACTGGCACTTCGGTTCAAGTTCTCTTAATTACACTCAGTTATAGCGCTATCGCTATTCTACACACTTTCCGTTCACCGCTGCACACGCACTAGGATTCTCAGTCTTCACTAGTCGTATCCTGGCAACGGACATCAACTCAGAAACTTTCATCTCAAATTACTATGAAGTTTTCTTGTTACTACGTCTTCATTTCCCCTGTACTCCTCTGTCCTAATTTGTAAACTAATCTTCACAACTCACTAAGGACACGCTCTATTCTCGTCCTTGTACTCTCAACTTCTGAACTAATCTAAACAAAGTCAAAGTCAAAGTCACATTGCGACTGACGGTCGGTCAGTCAGTCAGTCAATCTTGGTGTCGAGACCAATCTGGGGCTCATGACCAGATATTTATTACTGTTTGACAGTTTAAGTCTTGTTACTGTGGGGCGCCCTCTCTGACGAGAGGACGGGTCTATCTTTTGTCAAGAGTCATTGTCTGGAGTAGTAAGTCATTTGTCATAATGCAAAGGCTATTTACACACAAGTCACGTGACTGCTACCAAACTCTCATTGGCACGCTGATTGCTGTCTAACAACCAGCTATAACATTCGTCCACTGAGATACACTTTCCATTGTTGCGTGCTGGAACGTGTTTACAGAGCCGTTGTCTAGAAATGGGTTGCATAACCCCATTGCTCTTTTTGTGTGTGTGTGTGTCACTTAGCAACGGCTGTTTCTGTTGCTCAGCAGTTCTTGCATCGGGCAAATGCGCCACAATACATTTTTTATTACGAAATCTATTTTACCATTTTCTTCTTAAACTGCCTCTACAACTCTCTGTGCGTATTGGCCTCCTCTTTAGTCTACCTCTGTAGGCACTGGAGGGTTCGTAACGGTAGATGTTGCCGGGGTAGGTTTGTGAACCCCACGCCCAACCCCAAACTTGGAGGACTAGCCAGCCCATATCTTTCGACCTCTCTGATATGAGTAGCTTTACCAGCTTACGCTCCCACGAGCGTAGCTCTACGTGTCACCGGGGCGCAGTAACCCCCTCTCCAAGATAGGACATTCCGGCCTCGAATCTATAAATAGCAGGGCTGCATAACATATTTCGAGATGATTATAATTCTTACATATTTTATGCAGTATGCTTGAAATGTCTGCTGCTAAAAGCTATGTGAATAATTCAACCACTGTTTGTTTTGTCTACTGGTAGCCCTGTTGCTGAAGAGACACACGTTTAGAGTTTGGTCAGCTTAGTTGCATTAGAAAATATCTCCAGCTCGTGTATAGGACTGTTCTGTGTTTTTCGTATAACGTAACAATTAAACAGCCTTCATCCTAGTCATTAGAGCATTTAGGCCTACCGAAAATCGCTTGTACCAGCCTCTGTCCAACAACACTGTGAAACTGAGTAACACAATGAAGCAGATACCTTTTGACCTCCGGATTTTATGGAACCCGAAGGCTTATTGTGTTCGTTAGACCAGGGAACTGGACTTCTTCGGCTTGTTGAGATCATCCCAAATTCTTTTTTTTTTTTTTCTGTGGCGCTACAGCTCCAATTTGGGCCTAGGCCTACCTCCATGAAACTCTCCGTTTCACTTCGGTTTACTAGATCTTACACATGCGGTAGGACTCCTTGGGCGAGTGATCAGCTCGTCGCAAGGCCTCTACCTGTAGACAAACATAGAAAAACGCACACACAAACATCCATGCCCTGAGTGGGATTCGAACCCACGATTCCGGCTTCCGAGCGAGTGAAGACAGTACATGTTTTAGACCGCTCGGCTACCGTGACCGGCTTCCGAACTCTTATATCTACTTTTTAAAGATCCATCATAGTAATATTCTATCTATGCCTAGGTTTTGCCAAGTTATTCCTTCCCTTGAGGCGTAAATAGTACACTTTTATATGCATTTATCATCTACTTGATGTATACAATATGTCCCACTAATTTCTTTATTTTTTTGAAGAACAGGATATAGTTAAATGTATCAGAAAAAGACAGGGTACGCTGGTGTGGACATATTGTGCGTATGGACCTTCAGAGAACAGTTCAGAAAGTTCCTAACTACAAACCATATGGATCAAGAAAATTTGGAAGATCTAAATTAAGGTGGGAAGATGAAGTTCTCCAGGATATCAGGGCCCTGAACATCAGGAACTGGAGGGATGCGGTTGTGAGAAGAAAGGAGTGGCAAAAAGTTCTGAGGAAGGTCAAGGCCCACCCTAGGGCTGTTGAATCATTGATTATGATGATGATGATGATGATGATGATGATAATGTCTTTACTTTTGTGGCTTATTTTCCGGTGCTATCAGCGTCTAGAATATACTGTATAGCGTCGAATGGTAGGGAGATTAGTGAACTCTAATGGATTTGGAAGGAAGCCGTCGTGGCCTAGTCGAAATATTATACCAGAATTCTTCCGGAGGGATTCAGGAGAACCACAATGAAACCTCGGTCAGGATAGTCAGTATCTCGGCCGACATTCGAACCGAATACTTCTAGAGTACGAGTCTGAAGGAAACTCAGCCTTGCTCACAGGATAACTAATTTTGCAAACAGCATAGGCAGCAAGCATGGATCGGGAAGCACAGGCGCAGGGCCTGCGCAACAGCATAGGCGAACCCAGCGGTCGTTTGGTGCAACAAAATTTAAAAGTTTTTTTTAGCATACCTTCTTTCATTTCAAAAGATAAAAGTAGGCTTATGCGATTTCCATGCTCTCTGTATGTCTTTGTGTCCCCCCACTACCAACTCTTGAATTCCTGAACCAGTCTTTATGAAACTTGGTATGTACGAATACATCATGGCACCTGAGCCCATCGCAACTGAGAACTTCATAAATCCCTCCCAGCAATCTGCGTGTCTATGTGTATTCCTCTATCGTTGCTAGGCAACGATTTGGTAAAAACTTTACAACGGCAACGAATACACACGCAACAGTATGAGAATTATTGGACGCGCCGTTTTCTGTGCGACCCGTGTCTTATCAAAAAAAGCAGTCGAACAGTTTTTCCCAGAATCTCTTGCTGTTCATTATGTTAAACGGAAATTAATTTCTGCTACTGTTTTGTACATATGATGGCCACTAATCTGCAGTAATCTGAACATGTTATGCAACGATGTATATGAAACTCTTTAGAAAATTGACACTCATAAAGTTTTTCATCACAACTCTCAACACATTACAGGCCGATGATTTCTGTCTTCTGGAATATAACGGCGAAAATTTTCGTTGAAAATTATCCCACTTTCGGAGGAACATGTCGCCTCCATCTTGAGGGTCGAAGAGGAAACCAAGCAAGAAACCAGCATGAAGCAGGCAGCAAGCAAGAACCCTACCCAATGAAGCTGAAGGAGATATGTTTCTCCCGAAACGTCAGTAGACTTTCACAGAACTACGCGGATTTATATACCAGAAGAAAAAACTCTTCATAGTCACCCCTGTAAAAACCTCAAATCCAAACAATTACAGGCTTATTTTCAGTCTAAGTTGGAAAATTTTAGGGATATGATTTAATTTGCAGACAGTTCCCCTGCTGCTGTAGCACTATGTAATCAAGCTTTTATCAGTGCAGGCATTCTACAAAGATATGTCATACTTCGACAGTCTCAAATGTTAGATATGAAGTTGAAGATTCCGAGAACGTAAATGATTTGTGATATTCATTGTCACATTACGACTATATTCTTAACCTGAATTTCAGTCATGTAGTGGTTATGTAGTTATATGAATATTGATGGGGCAGACGCCTGTAGAGAAGTTACAATAAAGAAAATGTACGGATGAAAGATCATGTGAACATACGTGGCCGGAACATTAATGAAATCGAGGGATTTGTCTCAGGGTATAGACTCAGCTAGTCAAATTTTACAGACTGCTGCAATTTTGTCAACTCAAGAAAAATGAGATGAGAGTGAACCGTTTCATCTACACTCGCTGTATGTGTAATTGCAAAAATCAGGATTTAAAGCCTGAAGTTTAGGTTATGAGCCCTCCTCCCGTTTTATATCGCAAACTCATTTAGAGCTTCTGTTGAAATTTTAATGGCACGTTTCCTCTCCTGTATTCATCATGAACTGGGAATTTCGTGTCATCACCTGTAAAGAAGTTGCGACAAAGTTTATTGTCGTAACCGTGAGGACCTGTGTAACATTTTGTAACAAGCTGTCTTCTACAGCGAGCAGTTTCAGCACCACGCCAAACCCACATACCGGAGGACCACCCCTTGTGAGCGACTGCTTATTCATTATATTCGCAGCTACCCACCATATAATTAGATTAGTGATCTTAACGAGGATGCGATGGACAAAGCATGTAGCACACTTGGGAGAGAAGTGTAATGGATGCAAGGTTTTAGTGGGAAATCTAGAAGGAAATAGATCACTTGGAAGACCTAGACGTAGGTAGAGGGTAATATTAAAATGGATATTAGGAAAATAGGATGATATCGTTCGGACTGGATTAATTTTGCTGAGGAGAGGGACCAGTGGAGGGCTTTTGCAAACACTGTAATAAAACTTCGGGTTCCATAAAATGTCGGGAAATCCTTGAGTAGCTGGTTGATTGTTGGCTTCTTAAGAAGGGCTGGGCTCCCTGAGTGAGTTAGTTTTCTTAATTATGATTGAGTGAAGTTTCTCATAGTCTGATGAGGCATTTAGTTTTGCAGACTCTGGCTATGAGACTGGAAAAGCCTTACCAACTATCACAAAGCATTAATATAATTATTGTGTTTCTGGACATTATTCACCATCCTGTTCTTTATTTAAAACACATAACGTTTTGGAGACTGGTTTCTGTCTGTGTCTTCTGCTCTGTTGAGCCCAATCGATAGAGCTATTTCCTATCTGCGGTGGTAGGGTCTGAGTATACCAGAAGACGGAGACAGAATCCAGTCTCCGAAACATTGCGTGTTTTAAATATAGAACAGGACGGTGAATAATGTCCAGAAACACAATAATTTCATCGCAAAGCTGTCATGAAACACTAGGAACACTTACCGCAGAATATGCAAAATGCGTTTGAGAGACCCGTGCCTCCGAGCTGAACGATGGCGAGGAACAAATATCCTGTGAGCAGAGTGCTCACATGACACATGAGGCTTTTTCCATGAAGGTTTCTGAGTTCTTGGATCATTGCATACACAAGAAATGTCGCAAACAGGAAAGGTACAGAGATGATCATTCCAACAGCGTACAACATGCCGGTTCCTTCAGTTTCTTCCGCACTTTCGTCATCGTCCTCGAAACACAACAGTGGTAAAATTTTTTCAGGATTTTCGAAAGCTTCGATGCAGTATTCTGCTGCTGTGAAGTTACCTTCTCCTGGTACATTTAGTACCCCGGTCGGAGTAAGTGTGAATTCATCACTTTCATCATCGAGACGATAAACTCCATGTTGACAGGGGTTGCCATGTAACTTATATACATCCATATTTGTAACACTTCTGTTGTTTTCATCTTTGAATTGTGGCGAAAACGGGTGTAATAAAGTTAAGTTGCTATCAACGCATGTGCCATCTGCTAATATTGTCTGCCCTTCTGGACAACATTTCCGTATGCAGTTCCTTAATTCACATATGCAACCCCTGACTTCAGTAACATTATCCTCGCGAACGTCTTCCCAGATTAATTCTGGCGGATATGAAACAGGAATATCATCCAAAGATAAAAGACTTCCGTTTGCAAGCATTTGCCATTTTGTAATAACTACGCTAAGTAATTTGTTGCATGCCATTGTTGAATTTATATGCAGATTATATTCTTTGTTCATAATATTTTTACTTCCCATCTCCTCAGTTTCTGATTCAATAATATTTTCATCATCAATACTGTTGCCGTTTCTTTTGTTTCTGTTATTTTGTTTATTAAATATTTGTATATCGGTAGTTGTCATCGGTAGCCCTTTCTCTTTTCTAGTAGTACTGTCAACATTGTCTGCCTGCAACTGAGTCACATCTCTCGAACTGCTGTTATTGTTAACAACTAATTCCATTGGCTTATCGATACCAGTGTTGCCCGCTACACGTACTATTTCAGTATCATTGTTTACTTCCTGTATCTCATAACCTCTGAAATCATTGGCTGCTGTGTATTTCACTTTATTTTCATTTTCGTTGTCTGCGATATAATTGGCGGTAGTTGACTCAAGATTCTTCACACCTGTGTTACTGTTATCAACGGTATGTCCTCTTACCAGAGTCTGACTTTCAACTCTGTCCTCGTCCAGAGTTGCCCCTTTAATCATAGTAGAGGTGATACCATTAAGGAAAGTTTCTGCACTCAACTTCTTTCCATCTGTAATATTTACATCTACCTTGTCACGATTTTCAACTACTAGACCTCGTTCCATTTTTTCAGACATTTGCTTCCTGCTCATAATACTGCTTTCGGTGACTACACGTGTTACTTTGCCATCCAAACCTGCATTTGTGTTGTATTCTGTTGAAATGCGGCCATTGCTAGAGGCTGGGTCCATCATGCTGCCATCGGAAGGTCCAGCCACAAACACTGCACACACCACAAGAACGCACACGCTAATATACACCTTCTCCATTGACTCTCGCACCATAACTAACGAGCCTACAGTACCGACGCAAGAGAAAATCCACTTATCGTCTGCTCTCCCACTAGACGCTTGTATTCCGCGATCCCAGAGTGTGTATGTTTATTTACTGAGACTATTTGACAGGAAGGAAATATTGGTTTATCGTTCTACTCTCATACACGCTACTCGTATATACGGGGTGAAAAAAGGATCTTATCGAAGTTTGTCTTCCGTGAAACAAGTTTCTCGTTAAATTCTTTATCATTTGTGGCCTGTTTAACGACACTTTCAGTACTTCGAACTACGTGTATATAGTCTCTAATACAAGTAAATGTTTTAATGAACAGTGAATTGGAAAGGGTTTAATTGACAGTGGCAGTATTTTTTTTTCCTTGGCACTACAGCTCCAGTGAGCCTAGGCCTACCTCCATGAACTTCTCCGTTCACTTCGGTTTTTCTAGATCTTATACATTCGGTAGGACTCCTTGGGCGGGTGATCAGCTCGTCGCAAGGCCTCTACCTGTACACAAACACAGAAAAACGCAGACACACACAAGCTAAATATCCACGCCATAAGCGGGATTCGAACCCACGATCCCGGTCTCCAAGCGAGCGAAGACAGTACATGCCTTAGACCGCTCGGCTACCGTGACCGGTGGCAGTGGCAGTATAGGATGTGCAAATTCTTGTAGGTCTCGTAGACTGTTGGTGTGCTACGTTGTCACTTTTTTTTTTAATAAATTATACTTCTACGACAGCTGGGATCGCTGGGATAGCACACACTGTATAGCGACTTGCTACGGATTGGACGGCCGAGGGGTCGGGGTTCGAGTCCTGGCAGGCGTTGGTCCATACCTATTCTAGTGTCCACCCAACGTCCTATCCAATGGGGACCGAGAGCTCTTTCCCGGGGGTAAAGCGGCCTGGGCGTGAAGCTAACCACTCGCCTCCAACTGGTGCCGAGGTCAAGGATACTTGAATCTTTACATGAATTCCTTCATACGCCTTCACGGCGTAATGCTTAATTAGTTAAGCACAGGGATCATTTTTACCATTTTACTTCTACAACATGTTTCAACCTTATAAGGTCATCAAATTAGATACCTTTACGTAACTGCTGCACTGTATTTTTTTTCCTTGGCACTACAGCCCCAGTGGGCCTAGGCCTACCTCCATGAATCCATGAACTTCTCCGTTCGCTTCGGTGCTGCACGGTATTGCTGTATTGTTATTTCTAGTGCGTTGTTCCGAAACTTGGTTAAATGGGTTCAAATTACTGTTGAGTTTTGTTAAGAAAATTATTTGCCATTTTGTTTTCAGTTGATACGTCTTGTTTCTGATATTCCGTGATTTTTGGGGGTTATTAACACGAAGCAGGTATCAACTGTCTGGCTCTGGGGTACATCCACCCTCCCGTCCAGGGGGTACCGTGGACTAGTCTTCCGTAGTTAAAACGCTGGGAGCTTGGAGCTGGTAGGTTAAAAATACAAGAAGCTACAGGGACAATTCTACCTTTACCATTTGCATTTTTGTTAATATGTTATGCGTACTCCTACCAAGTAAAGTAAGTAAAGCTATCCCTGTAACAGGCCGCAGATACCCATAGGGTTGTGATATGCTGAGGTTCCCACATTTTCTAGACAATCGGCTCATAGATGGCGGTAAGATTGTCAGCATTACGCGCCGGCCTCCTTTACCCTCAAGAAGATTCCTAGTACTCATTTCTGTTAAGAGGCTGAGTTGACCCCAGGGCCGTAGTGCGGCTGGAAGGATTGAGTAAATTGAAAAAAATAATCTACATCATCGGGATTCGATCCCGCGACCTTCCGGCTTGTAGCATAGTGCCTCAACCAACTGCGCTACCGCGTGTCCCGTACTCCTACTATGAAAATGTAATTTGGAACTTTTAGTGAAGGTAGAGACAATTGGCCGATATGCTCTACTGGGGTCTCTTTCCACTCAAATTGAAATAAGGATTTCTAGAATTGAGATATCATCAAAGCCATTTTAAAATTTGGTGAGTTCAGATATATCGGCCAAAAGACGAGAAAAGGTCAGGGAATTTTTACTCATATCTAAAATCTAGTATTATGAGCGGACATGTATAATGCTTACAATTTAGTTGCCCTTTTTCTTGAGATTTGAGAATCCTGACGCGAGTATACTTTAATGGCCGTTGTGAACACATTTTATGTGAAGATAAGATTATCTATAAATAATTTGAATTCCTTGATAAATAACCGAAACTTCGCATATCGCAATATCAATATTCAACAGAATAGCAACAATATTTAAAAATAAGAATTGTCACTTGGTTTGACAACCAGAAGTTTTAAACAAGTATATCTTGTAATGTACTGCTATGCTTCAACGTGCAGCCTGCCACCTGCCAGCAGGAGGAAGAAAGTATTACTTCTTCTGGTTCTCTTTCAGTTATCCGTGGTCAGTCATAGTCGGTTATGGATGCTGGCGCCAAAGTCACTTTGTTTGTTACCTCACTTTGCCAATAAGAAGGTAACAGGATAAAATAAACTGAAGCACAATAATAAATACAGTATTTATGTTTTGAACAGAATGAACGTTTTTAGAGGAGCTACACTGCAGAACAGAGGCAGGTCCATTGGACGTGGTAGAGGGAGAAGTAGCAGAGGAGCAGGTATATGATAATTCCGGTTATAGCCATTTACAGGATTCTGAGAATATTGAATTTAATTGGTTATTGTTGTGTTGTGCAATAATTAGTATGGATACTAAAGAAGTACTTTGTGAAGATGCGAACTAGGTTCATCTGGCTCAGAATAAGGTTCAGTTGCATGCTCTTGTGGGAGTGATAATTAATGGACCTTCAGGACTGGTAAAAGGCAGGGAATTTCATGACCAGTTGAGTGTTAATTGTCAAGAATGACCGTGCTGTATAATACCTGTTATGTAGGCTCGTTTATTAAATTTTGAAATATTCACACTAGGTACATGTAAATTGCAGATGCAGCTTTAATATTTGGGGCTTAGAATAAGAAGAAAAAAATTGTTAATGAAGTTTGCACTAAATTAACAAAACTACAGAAAAAAGGGGAAATAGTTATCGTTATTCCAAATCATATCATTTTAATAAGGCTATAGTATATGGTATGTGTTTTAGTGCATATATTTGACAAAAGCTGAGGGTATGTTGCATATGTCACTTCATAAAAGTAAAAAAGTAAAGCTATCCCTGTACCAGGTGTACCCGTAGGGTTGTGAGACATTGAGGGTCCCACATTGTCTAGACAATCGGCTCAAAGATGGCGGTAAGGTTGTCAGCCCTACACGCCGGCCACACTTTACTCCCCAGGAAAATTATTTAATTAATTCCTGGCACACATTTCTGTTAGAGGCTGAGTAAACCGCAGGGCATAGTGCGGCTGGAAGGATTAGGTCAACTGAAAAAATCCAATGACCTCATCGGGACTTGAACCCGCTACCTTCTGGCTTGTAGCATAGCTCCTCAACCACTATGCTACCATGTGACCCTCCAAAATCTGATCTGTTACAGTAACTTTTTTGCCATCGTATTTGGAGACTAATAAATTGTGAGACAGTCAAGAAGTTTGACAATAATGCACAAATAACTGATTGTTTCCAGGATTGCCACTGTCTCAGGTAGTCTGTGGGAGAGTTCAGAATACAGTTGGAGGAAGATTTCCAGTGGTAACACCAAAGCATTTTGTACCATCACATAATGCACAGGCTGGGTCTTCAGTATGTAATACCTCTTCAGCAATAGCAAGGAAACAGTTTTCAGTGTGAGTTTTGTCCAAAATTATGATCATGTATATATGTATTACACAATTTGACCACAGATGTGTAGAACCTGATCTGTCTTTAAAACTAGAAAGAAGACTTAGATGCAAATATCACATTGTGTCATTCCAAGTTCATGCCCATTTTCAGACAAAGCTAGCACAGTTGGTTCGAAATATTCAAAAGTAATATTATGTTCATGTGAATAAAACTGGAATATTATTGTAATACTTTATACAGTCATCACAGATATTAGAATTTCACAGATGGTTCCAATCCACCAGGATTTCTTCAAAAAGAGAAACACCTAGAAAATTTTCTAAAATATTTACTTTAAAATTATTAAGAGTATCTTTACTTATCACCCTCTCAGTATTCAGGATAGAAGAATATGTTTTCAAACAATTTTAATGTTTCATAGTCATGTTCAGCATATTTCACTCTTTTTACAATTTTGACTTAATCAAAAAATCTGGGGGGCCCCTCCTCTCCCCCCATTCATCAATATCATTACATTGTGTTGACCAGTTACACTTGAAACTTTCTATCATACCTCCATATAATATCATCTCTCTAAAATCTCATGATTTTAGTAGACCCAGTACACGCATGATGTAAGGTAATTGACACTGAACGAAACTGATATAACATAACCTAAACTGTCAACAAAGCTGACTCATTTCAGAACATAAATTGCATCTAGAAGTGAGAAAATAATTCGGTTTTTACTTTAGCAGTACAATTACAATGTTGTATCTGGAAATAATTCAGCCAAATGACTCATACATGAGTGGTTATCATATTGTAAAGACATAAACCTGTGAAATTAATTACTGGTGCAGGGAATTTGTTTTGAAGAAAGTTTGGAGTTACGAATTTTAAAAGAACATTTTCCATCATAACTGCAAAAAATATCCCATTTATTTCATATTCGCTTAATTTTACTAAAGATACCATGTGCCAATCATATCAACAGAGACACATTTCTTGACTAGCAACAGATTACTGCAGAACAAATAAGAAATAAATAAAGTTGTATGTATTGGAAGAATTAAATTAAATTAGAAGAATACCAACGAAACTATTTAGCTTAATGTCCATGTATTTATCGTCCATCAATATTGCAACACTTGTTTATTCACTACTTAGTTTTAATTTTAGTTTAACATTATACACTTTGACACTACATGTTCTGGCCCCAAACTGCCACTGCCATCTTCAGCTGTCTTGATATGTTACAAATATTTTATTAAATTATGTTAAAACTGCTACACTGTCTTAGTCCATGTTAAAATCACATGCTGTAGTTCTCTCTTCAAGGTAAAACCAGATTAAAGTTATGAAGCATCATCGTGTTTCCATAGGAGCACAGTAAACATTCTGTCTTATTTTAAATGTTTAAGAATCTTGAAATTTATTTATATACACCCTTAGCAAATGAAATTTAATGTTAAATATTTGTGTCATAACATTTGCAGATTTCCATCATCTAGTGGCAGTGGATCACATCCACGTACAACATCTTCAGAAATGAGAACACCAAGATCTGCTACAAATAGCACCAGTGATAACAATTCCATGTGCATTGTAGGTATGTATTTGTATCTGACATGGGGTGAACTCTTTTATTTGGTGTGCAATAGAATCTGTATTCCAGTGTTACAAGCAGGGGTAAGCGGCTTTCAGAACAAGGTAAACACACCAGATCAAGAGAAAACCGTGGGAGAATGACCAACATATATTATTAGCAAATTATTGCGGTATAGGCTTGAGAATTTGCCCCGAAATGTGTTGTTATTGAGAACGATGGGTTATGGTGTCTTACGACAATGGAAAGAGCTTCCTTAGAATGAAGTTCTCTGGAACTATGGATAAGGGGCTGTCAAATGAAAAAGGGTCACTACGGGTAACTCACACGGTGCGCAAGTTGATAACTCTGGAATTTGCTTATGGTACGAACATCTGGTGAGGACTTGGGAAAGCACAGTGACAATGTACCCTTGCCCACTTGTCGTTTGTTTATTGTGCTGGAAGTAAGGTTAGCGCTACATGTGGTCATCCAACATCAGTAATGGAGGCGGATAAAGAAGAACAGCGAAGTGTAGTGCACTTTTTGACTGCTGAACAGGGGTGGCCCATGTATAGGCACTGCAGAACTGCAGCACCCCCAATTTCCACTTGATATTATCGATAACATTTATATAATGAGTCAGTTTTTCTTTAATTCTTTCTTTATACTTGTACAATACAATATATAATCCTTAAGCTTAATGTCAGTAGCCAAATCTTTGTATGGAACTGTGAGTTTCACAGTTCCAGCGGCGAGGTGTTCGTTGACTGTGCACATGGGCACATAGGAAGTACACGCGAGTCTGCAAGGGAGAGGGAGCACTGCAGGAACGACAGTGCCGACCTTTGCTGACCCTGGCGTGCTGGTGGAAGGTAGTTTTTTTTTACTCCATGTGTGTTGTGCTTAAAAAATATGAGTTAATTGTAGAATTAAATTATTATCCTGCTTCCAGCTATTCTATTTGATTATTTTTTTTCGGTTCTTTTAGTTAACAGAAAACTTTAACCATGGCCTTGCATCCCTGAGAAATAAGTTCTGTGACTCTAAGTGAACTTCAACAGCTTAAGTTTTCACAACTGTCTCTCCATGAGAAAGTTGCAGTTAAGAAAAGAGGTCGTTTAACACCTGATATTCTAATATCTCAGCCAGGCATAAGCAAGAACAAGAAATATATTCATAGCTTTAATTCTGAATGGTACAAACAGAAAAGTTGGCTTTGCAGCTGTGAAGTAAAAAATGCACTGTTTTGCTTCCCGTGATTGCTGTTTGGGGGTGATGTAACGTGGACAAAAGATGGTTTTAGAAATATAAACAAAATGAAAGAAAAAACTGAAAAGCATGAGAAGTCAAAAAAGCACGTTGATAATGTAGTTTCACTGTCACTTTTAGGAAATGTAAGTATTAAGGAGAATCTTAGTGAGGCATACAGACTTTCAATCAATGAGCATAATATAAAGGTTAAAAAGAATGGATTTCCAATTGTCAATAGATTTTCCGTCAAGTGCAACAATATATACTTTGGTCACTTCTTTATCTCATCTGCCTTACATGTTTCGGTCCCAAGGAACCATCTTCAGAGGCACTTATAACAAATTATGAAAACACTGGCACAGCTCAACATCCACAATATGTAGTTATTTGTGGAAACTATTACATATATCGGAGTGTAANCAATTTTAAAACAAAGGCTACAAATTTTCTGGAGCAGCACCCCATTAATTTTAGCTACGAGTCGCCACTGCTGCTGAAGGAGTAGGAGGACGAGAAATTCATCATTGTATGTCTGTTGTTTACGGCGAACACAGCGTGTCACGTTTGCGTGTGCTGGCATGGCATAGAAGATTCTGAGAGGGATGTGTGTCACTGCAAGTTGATGCTCACCCAGGACAAGCTCATCATGTCATCACTCCTGATGTTATTGCTGTGTTGGATGGTGATATCTGGGCAAACCAACGGATCACTGGAAGAAATTAATCTTTTGATGGGAATAAGTCATGGTTCCGTACACGTAATTGTGACAAAATGCCTTGTGTACCGCAGGCTGCATCACTGGGTCACTTGCAACGGTACCATGAGGAAGAGTATGCTTTTCTGTCCCGTATTGCCACTGGGGATGAAACTTGGTGCCACCATTTTGAACCCGAAGCAAACGGCAGAGCCAACAGTGGAAACACGTGAATTTCTCGAGCATGGTGCTACAATCAGTGCACAGTGCTATGAAGACACTGCAGAAACTGAGACGTGCCATAAAGACAAAACGCCCTGGAATGCTATTGAACGGCATTATCCTTCTTCATGATAATGCGCGCCCCCACACTGCCAACTCTGTGAGGAATACGCTACAGAGATTTGGTTGGGAAGTGCTTCAACATCCCCCCTACAGCCCAGATCTCTCTCCATGTGATTGTCACATGTTTGGAGACCTGAAGAGACATTTGTGGACATGGGTTTGCATCGGACGAAGATGTGTGTGGCTGGGTACAGATGTGGTTCTGTAGACAGCCCACAAGCTCTTTCAAGGATGGGATTGACAATCTCATCTCTCAGCGGGATAAATGTATTAACAGTTTTGGAGATTACTTTTGATATAAGAAATGTTCTTAAATATGTTTTGGCTTCTGACCTGTTTTCATTTGACTCTCCCTCATAGATGAAATTCTGTGTTAATTAATGCAGTACTGGGTTTTTGGACTTTCTCCACCACCCAGTATTCCAAAAACCAGAGAACACAACATTTTGGAAACTGGATCTATTTCCATTCTCAGGTGAGGGAGGACACACCTACTCTGTTGGTCCCTTAGAAAGAGCCAACCTCAATCACGGGACTGTTACACAACATCATCATAACCCTTTAGAATCTACCCCGCATCTTAGTTAATTTGTTTGTGATTTATTCAATGATACTGTCAGTAGTTCAGACTATATAGCATTGAATGATAGGATGATTATTGGTGAATGAATTGGAAATGATGTGGAAGGAATTGTTCATTGCCTGGAATGGAGTACTATCCCTGAATTTCCATGAATAGGCTGAGGAATGCCACAAAAGAATCCTAGAGAAGATAGTCTGGCCTCCAGGCCAAGATCTGAACCAGGCACTTCCTAAGTACAAGTCAGAAGCATTACTGCTTGAGCAAACATGCTCAGTGACACCCTGTGTCAGTTTTATGCTCAATTCAATGAACTGCTCTGAACTAGTTTATAACAGTGATTTGGCATATGCTTGCTTGAATGATCTTTGAGAATTAGAACATCGTCTGCTGAAGATGTGATTTAGCTCACATATCAAGTTTATTCTATCTATGATTGCCATGTCTTTAATTACAGGAAAAGATACAAATTGGTTAAAAATGCATTAATTTTCTTTTATGGATCATGGAACTCACATAAAGAACTAGTAGTAATTTATTTTAATGATATGATATTTACATGTTAATAATAATTCCTGGTACTCGTTTCTGTTAGAGGCTGAGTGAACCCCAGGGCCATAAATAATTTTCCTGGGGAGTAAAGCGTGGCTGGCGTGTAAGGCTGACAACCTTACCGCCATCTTTGAGTCGATTGTCTAGATAATGTGGGACCCCCAACATCTCAGAACCCTATGGGCCTTCACGGCCTGTTACAGGGATAGCTTTACTTTTTTTTTTACATGTTAATAATGAACAACTTCTTTATTACAACTGTCACAACACAACTAATATCAAGATCAGTTACTAGTTTTGGCTCTACTACATGATTTGGCTATTAATAGCCATCATCAGGCAAATACATGGTTAACATATATGCACTACTGAACTGCAGTACTAGTAAAATTGGGTACAGTATTATTAATTATATAAAATACTTGACATAAAAATACAATAAATTAGATTATATAAAACAAAAGTTATAGTATAAAACAAGAATAAAATTCTTCGATTGATGTTTTACATCATCGAGTCAGTCGTTGGTTTTTGTAATTTTGTTGCTTTCCCACGGACAAATTGGAATATTCTATATTTTGTGTATATATATNGTAAATTTTATAGTTGTCAAGTTATGTGTGCGTGTGAAAAAGGTTTGCTTTGTATTGGGTATTGCGTCGCTGGGGGTTTGCTTAATTATTTTCTTATTAAGTTTGACGTAATGTTCTACCATTTCTCCATTTAGTGTTATATTTATGTTGTTTTCTAGTGTTTGCCAGCTAGACTGCCAAAACTGAGCATTTTTTAAATGCGTTTCATATAGTTTATTATTAATTTGTTGTTTTTTAATGTATAAAAATTTTAGCNTCCGTTCTGTAGGGAATGTAAACAACGACTCAGTTTACATTTGTATACATTCCCTACAGAACAGACAATACTTTGTAAGATGAGACACTGACTAAATAATTAACATACTACATAATATATTATAACACAACAGGATGCATGAAATGAAAATTGTTAATTATAAGTTGTGATAATTTAGTTTCTGTGCTTTTTACAGCTTTGACAGAAGGGCGTGGTCAAGCACGTGGTGAAGTTGGTATTGCAGCTCTGGATATTAATTATCCACACCTGATACTGTGTCAGATCGGTGACAGTCAGTCCTATGTGAACACACTAACGAAAATCAATGTACTGAATCCAATTGAGGTATATTAGATTTATGGATTTACTTCTCAGAGAATTGCAAATTGTGTGGAATGAAACTGCAGTTACATTTAGTTGTATGCCACTATTCATTATACTTGTCATGAGATTAATTCATAAATGTCAACAAATTTTGACATAGATCACCAGTTAGTTAAAAAATTTAGCTCGCCAAACAATTCTCCATAAGAGATACCTGCCTCATTGCAACTGCTCTGCACTCTAACATACGAAACATAAATGTCTTACAATACTGCATCCTGTCTGTGGTGCTAACAAATAAAATTGAGAGATTACTACCACACAAACAAATATTTTTATGATTCCACTCACAACGTGTTTTGCCCCAGGTAGGCTATCATCAGATGGTATGTGAAAAATATACAAATGATGATGGAATTCATATTAATTACAATGATAACATAAATTTGAAAATCTGTTAACAAAATTAGGTCATATCTGACTTAATACTTTATACACATTAGATTTTAAAATTAAAAAAAAATATATATATATGAAATTTAAAAATTAAATATGAAGCAGTATAAGGAGAAAATCACTATAAAAGGTAGGGGGGAAGTGGACATTGGTAGAATTATGGAAAATATACGGTCGAGGTGATAAGGTGTGATTAAGGTACATGTGTATTAGATTATGTTGTGGGGGCAATGAAGCGTTGTTGGTGGACCGGAAGTTCTATGTAGGAGATGCTTCCTCTCTAGGTGTAATAGTTATACATACTTTTGTAGAGAAGTACATACTAGAGCAGAAGAGAATATTAATGAGTAAATTTAAAAATTTTTCAATTTGTTCGCCTTGATTTTTCATTTATCATAAATTAGCATGTAAGGGTTTCTTTAATCCTCTTTATTTCTATACCATATCACAAGGTAGAGCAAGTTCTCAGTCATTGAATCCACAGTAACCTTGAAATTTAATAGCCTCTGGATTAAAACTTGTTCCAAAAATTGTGCTCTTTATATGCTCACCTACCTAAGTCTCAGGTAACAGAAGTGAAAATTTCAACATCGCCAATGCCAAAACCTGCCATTATATTGTATTTGTAGTCAGTTCAATCTACATTTTCTCTGTATATTACATTTTATTATATTTTCATGTCTTTAGTCTTATAAGCAAATATTTTCTGCAACATCTTCTTTGCTCCCTCTGAGTTACATCTCAAATCTCATTCCTAGTCAGATTCTTTGGATTAACTCTTCAGAGACACAACATTTTCAGGTCTCATCCTTTAATGGTTTGACAGTGGCCTGTTATTGATTGTAAGATTGCACATTGTCCATTTTCTCAGTTGTATTTACAATTTTGTGACATGTCAGAAGCTTGGCCTGCTTCCATCATAAGGCATAAAACAAGAAGTTCTGAGAAGAACTAATGGCTTACGTTCCTTTGCTATGGTATGTACCACATATAAAACGATGCTCCAACAATTCTTCATTGCTGCGGGAACATGTTTACTGAGCCATTATCTAGCCCCAATATGGAGATACACAGACAGATCCACAGACTCCCGCTTGATATGGCGCAGAGTGTATAGAAAATGATGCATCCAATAATTCTTCTATCGTTATATATATATATATATTTGTTGCTGTAGGAATGTGTGTACTGAGCTGTAGCAACAATAAGGGGGAGTATGAAGTATGCCATGGGGATGGGCTCAAGTGCCCGGTATACATACCAAGTTTAATAAAGATTGGTTTAGGCATTCACAAGTTGTTAGATGGATACACACACACAAACAGCAAGGTGATCTTATAAACCTACTTTTATTTTTAGCATACTTTCCTAAAGTAGGTTTATGCAGTCTCTTCCCTGGTTGTGCCTGTGTATCCCCATTAAGTTTTGAATGCCTAAACAAATCTTCATGAAACTTAGCAAGTATATCATGGCACTTGAGCCTATCTCAATGGTGTACTTCATAAATCCTTCTCAGCCGTCTTGGTGTCTGAATGTGTATGTTGCTAGGCAACAGCTCAGTAAAAATGTTACTGTGGCAATGAATACACAAGCAACAATAGAAGATTTGTTAGTCAAACTTTTTCTGTGCAGTCTATGTTGTATTAAAGGAAAATATATGGTTAGCTCTTCCCAGAACTTCTTGTTTCAAAATAAGGAATGTAGGCTAATAAGGGGGAGAGGAACCTACTCAGGTGGCCTGAGACTAGTCCTGTGTAATGGGATCAGCTGCACAGGATTCTTTTCCCCTTTTTTTACCCCTGATAGTGGAAGCAGAACCATCTTCTGAAACACTGTATGATTTTAAATACAATCAAGAGAGTGGACAATGTGCAACATAATTTTATAATATTCAAGATTATTCACAGTAAGAGAACAAGGTATATCTGCAGGATATATTAGGCTGGATGGAATTAAAACCCATACTTTAAAAATATTATCTGTAAGGATGTGACACTCTTTAGCCTGTTTCAGAGGAATATGCTGTCTCTTTCTTCTGGGTTGATGAGTAAGTCAAGCAAGCAAACAGTAAGATACCGGCCTAGAACAATGTACTGCCTTTTCAACTTATATTCCTTGATGAGACACAACAATTCGTTGTCAGTGTGAGGACAAAAATAACAAGTATATTTGGGACTGGCCCAGTGGACAGACTAGATAGAATCAAGCACATTCGTGGCTGGTCCTGAAGGGGTTAAATATATTATTCTTGCTTTCTCTGTTTATTTATACATCTTTAGTGGATAAATACAAACATTTCAGATCAACAAATATTTTAAGTATGCATTTTTTTCCTTTGACAGATTTTAGTGCCAAACACTTTCTGTGACAGACAGGTAACGAGTAAGCTGTACACTCTTGTTCAAGAAGCATTTCCCACAGTGACTGTCACCAGTGTCCTGAGAAGGCACTTCAGGGACACAAGAGGACTACAGCAGATAGAGAACCTGTGTGCCAATGAATATTCTTCAATTCAAATAGTGGTGTCTCAGAAGTAAGCATATTTTTAAGAAACTGGGAACTTAGACCGTGGTCTTGTGCTTTGTGACAACATGTAGTCTTGTAGGCAGAAACCGATATTTCGGAACATGCCATCTCCTTTTTCAAGAGTTGAAAATGACTGTAGTATGATCCTCAAAAACAGCAGCGTCTGCATACAAGGCTATGTAGTGTCACAACAAAGAAAACTGTAATTTTAATAATTACCACTGTGGAAACCTCAAGGAACTTAAAGCCTGTTAAAGTTATATTGTTCTGGTTTATGACACATTGAGTCTTGTAAGTAGTAACCAGTGTGTAACTCACTGTCTTGGTGTTCAGAAGATGTCTATAACATGAATACTAGACAAAAATATAACTTCCACCTACCCTCATCAACTTTATCAGTATATCAAAAAGGAGTCTACTTTACTGGCATAAAAGTGTTCAACAATCTGCCACAAAGTATTAAAAACTTGGGCAATGATACTAAAAAGTTTAAATCAGAGTTAAAGAATTATCTACATGCTCATTCCTTCTACTCTTTAGATGAATACTTCAATGTAAATAGAGAATGATGTAAAATTAAGTTATATTAATTTTTAAGCTAAAATTGCCTGTACTTATGTATGTAACCTTTTGACTTGTTCTGTATCCAAAGGTACTAACCTGCTTAGGATTTATAGAATGTAAATAAATTCAATTCAATTCAATGAAGGCAACATTTTCCTCTGAAAGATTAGTAACTGCCTGCAAGACTACATAGCATTATGACTGAGAATTCCACAATCTAAATTTGTGCTTATGACTTCTACCTTCTTGGATGTCATGCAGTCTAGGCCAGTAGAAGTTCACCGACATTTTGGATGGATGTACTATCTCCATCTTCAGAGTTGAAGAGCTCTACTTACTGCTTTCATCTTGGTGGTTGCTTGCTCAACTTCTTCAACCCTGAAAATGAATGCAGTATGTTATGCTGAAACTTCATTTAGCTTCTAGCAGACTGCATGATGTCACATCTCAGAAGATAGCGTTGTTCAAGTTCTGAGATGTTTGTTTATGAACTTTTTATGTTAAATATTGTCTTCCTCTTCTTGTCCAATGTCAGTTATATTATGGCTTTACCTTGTCTAAAATTGTATACACTCTCTCTATCAGGTTTTATGCATTAGCTGCAGCTGCAGCTCTCCTCAAATACATTGAATTTGTCCGGAATGTGTTATTTGCACCGAAGAGTTTGAAAGTTGAGTATCAAGGATCACAGAATACAATGGTGATAGGTATGTAATTTCATGTATTTAAATTGCAATATTAACGCCTTATAGTCTGAGGTACTGATGCCATCATTATATGAACCAAAAATTAATATTAATACACAATATGCAGGAGACATCTATAAGGGAATTTCGATAGAAGTATACCTGAGAGTAATTCCTATGGGTCTACTAAGATTGTAGTCTTCTTGGATGTAATTCTATGTGGTCTGATAGATTTTCATCCTGACAGTGGAGGCAACAGGGTCTTGTGAAATATTTGTATCTATATACTAAATTATATGGAACACACTCTCACACTCTCGGGTCCTCTTCTCACAGCTGCTTGTGCAGAACTCTTCTAAACTGTCAACTCAAGTATAGCGCCATCTCTTCTCAGCTTCCCTTGCAGAGCTCAATTGAAATGCCAACCTTCAACTTAAATTGTTGCCCCAATTCTCTTCTTTATAACCACATTTCATGGACCTCATCGAAAACACCATTCTCCTGTTGTTTCATGCGTGTTCGTTTGTGCGGGAACTTGTTTACTGAGCTGTTGCCCAGAAACGGCCGTTTGTTTATTTGCCTGTTGCATAGTAATGGCTGTACTCATTGTCTGTTTCGAGGACTTTGCCTAGCAATGGGTTCATACCTCACAGTATCATTCATGACCCATTCTACCTTTGCACACTACAAGTGCATATTCTAGGTACTAACAGTGCCATAAAATAAATTACAGAAAGCACAAACTGCACACCTCAGGAGACTGTAATCTTAATACTCACCACTGTGAGAACCTCAAATCTGAATTTGGTTTGAGATCATGACAAATTTCGTTAAGCTGCTGTATAACCAAATAGGAACTTCTGCCCCCTCTGATATTATGGTTGTATCCGTTTGAATGACAGATGTGAAGACAGCACATCTCCTAGAGCTGACTCAGAGTCTACGAGGTTCCAGTACACATTACAGCCTTATGGGTATTATGAACCATTGCCAAACGCGTGGCGGAATTCGCCTGCTGAGATCAAATATATTAGAACCTCCACGTCTACTTGAAACTATTCTTACTCGACTGGACTGTGTGCAAGAAATAGTAGAGACTCCAGAACTACATCATGCTCTTGAAGTAAGAAAATAATATTCTATGTCTGACTGGAGTAAATTTTTCATGTTATCATATATTAAACTTGTAAGTTAAATCAAAGATATGAAATATCTTCTCATGCTTAAGTTTGCATGGCCTGTATCCAATGTGTAATTTCATCTACAAGTATAAGGAATAAGAAAAAAAAAGAAGACATTTATTTTATATTCAAACAATGTTTCTCTGATATGATTTGAAGCTTTCTTGGTAATTATTCGTTGAAATATTCTTGGGCGATCAGCAATGTAAATATGGAGTTAGTGTCCAACACTTCACAGACTGTCTTCATCTCCATAATCTGGAGTTGATATGAAGACTGTTGCATCCACATGTAATATTCATACCAAAGAATATGTTTTCAGATGTCTCAGTGGTGTGTCCTGCAAGAAGGTGTGGGATGTCGATGGTCACTGAGACAACCACTTGAAACTATAACAATAAATGTTTGTTGCACTTAGAACGGGTATCAGAGACAAGATGGGAGCGTGCCTGAATGATGCAGGTGGAGACTCCTTTCATAGCGGTTAACCTGGTCTAGTGATGACGTTGCTGAGTGGATGCCCAAAAAGGGCCAATTTTGTCTAGCTGAGTCTTCCTTGTAGCGAGATAGCAAATGTGGCATGCTTCCTTGTGGCTGCCTGATGTTCTTCCTTTGCTGCAGCTGCAAGTGGCTGGCTGGCAGAGTTGTGGTGCGTGCACCAGTAGAGTCAGCTGCCTATGATGCTTGCGCTGGCAGAGTCTGTGCAATGCAGTGGTGGTGCTCTCTTGATGGCAGTGTAACAGTGACTGATGCAAGACTGATGCTGGTGTCAAAGTCAAAGTCATGTTGCAACTGACGGTCAGTCAGTCTGTCTGTCTTGGTGTTGAGCCCCAGCTGGGGCTCATGACCAGATGTTTTCTTCTTTGTGAAAGTTGCTGTCCTGTCCATTTGGGGCACCCTCTCTGACGCGAGATTGGTTCTGTCATTTGTCAGTCATAGTCAGTCCATTGTCAGTATTTACATATATTTACAATTTAATTCTAGCCTTAATTTCTACTTCTATGTACTATATATACAAGGCCTCTGTCAGTCCAGGCTCAGTACAGCAGATTATGTCCTATTTCTAGTAGTATTCGCCACCACGGCAGTCTATTCACTTGAATGGTCGTATACCTGACCGCTGCCAAGTTTAAGTCTCTTATACTTTCTATGTCAGGCTTCACCTTGACCAATAATGCGAACATTCTCATTTTCATGATTTTGTATGACTTCTGCTTGTTGCCTGCATAATTTTGTTATGTAATCATATACGTATGGGATTTTGAATGCCATGTGCAAATCGCGGACCGGTGTGCGCCTTGGCAAATTGCCAGTGGTGTGGAGAAGCTTGTTTTGCAGGCGCTGCAATTTCACTAGATGGCTGTCCGCCGCAAACTCCCAGGCGGGACTAGCATAAGTCATTATAGATCTATTAAGAGCTTTGTGGAGGGTCAGTTTAATGTTAGCGCTCAATCGCTCACTTTTGAATAGGGAATATACTCTAATGAATGTTCTGAAGGCCTTGGCTTCTGTAATTTCTATGTGCAGTCTCCATGTAACTCTCTTATCGAAGATTACACCTAGATATTTTGCACTATTTACAAATGGAATATTTCTTCCCTTTAGAGTAAGACAAGACTCAGGTGGTCAACACCCACAAGAGAAGTAGACCCCTGAGTCTTATCTTCGTTAATTTTAATATTCCAGCACTCACAGCAGGTCTCCATTGAGCTGAGACCGTGCTGGAGTTTTCTAACAAAGAACCCTCCCTGCGATCTGGCAAAGAAGGCCAGGTGAACACCATGAGTTTGGGGGGCATCATTTATATACAAGTTGAAAAGAGTAAGGGAAAGGCACCCCTGCTTGCATTTCCCTTGGCGTTGACATTTCGCCTTCAACTGAGACCCTGAAAGTACACTGAGAAAGAAAGGATCCAATAAGCTTGGCCAAACAGTTAGAGAATTCTAATTTTGATAACTTATACAGGAAGCCTGATTGCCACATGGTATCAAAGGCTTTCTCGATGTCCAAGAACACTGCAGCCGTAGACAGATGCTGGTGTGTTCAAGGCCTGCAGCTTTATACTTATGCTGCTAGGCGGTGCGTGGACCAGTTGGCGATGAAGCTGCGATTATTAGTGCTGATTGGATAGCGCTTGTGTTGGTGTCTAGGGAACCAAGCTGCAAGTGATGTATAAATATTGCTGCAATTGTGAGCGCTGATTGGATAGTGCTTGTGTAGGTGTCCAGAGGGCCAGGCTGCAAGCAATGTATAAATATTGCCTGTTTTCAGTGCACTGTGGGAGTTGTCTGTTATGCACTGTGGGAGGTTCCCACAAAGGTCTTTTTGTTCTTTAACTATTCAGAAGATTGATGATAGTTTTTTTAATTATGGTAACTGAAAATTATTACATTGTTGGGAAGGAGATAATTTCCTTGGGCTTTGATTCTAAGACTGATTACTCCCTTGACAATCAGCCTCTTTCCACCCTTCAATAATTGTGACCAATCCTGCTGTGTTCAGTTCGGGCTGACGTCAGTGTTCTGCAGACTTGAATCCCATAATATTCTAATTACTGATTAAATAGTATGAATGTATAAGGGATGGGCCATAATAATTCAGCCCTTGCACCACAAAAACAAAAAACAAACTCCGTGATTTTAGTCTGCAAGCAAACTCTACTGACCGAGTGATTGCCGCTTGTCGGCGAAGTTAGTGGCAACTTTTGCAGATAGAGAATATCGCGTGGTCAGTGCAATGAATCCCCATGGCCGTTAATTTCGGTTTTGTAGACCGGAGCCCTTATTTCCTTGAAGGAGCTTCTCAATTATCATCACGAGACTGAATGGACCCCATTCCAGATCCACTACTTCTCAGAAAAATCTGGTAGTGGCGGGAATCGAACCCGGACCTCTGGATCTGTAACCAGGAACTCTGACCACTAGACCACAGAGGCGGTTCGCTTTACACCACATCCTTGAGTAATCTATTGTGCTTCCCCTTATGATTAACCCTTTATTAATCCTACATTTTGAATGAAATGTACAAATTTGTTTTGATTAAATAGTATGTCAGATGTTCTAATTTCTTCCTCCACAGTTTTTATTTTATTTTGTATAGAATCCTAATTTCTGTTGAAGCTCACTGGGTGCAGTACAGATTAAAATTTACTTCAGCCATCACTTTCAAAACAGATGAAACCTCAGTTCGTTACAAAAAGAAATTTTGTTCAAAGTAGCGTGAAACTTCAAATGGAAAACAAATTTAAGCTAAATAATATTTGGAAAAAATGTGTTTAATGTACAAGACTTTGAATATTGACAAGTGTACCGAATATTTCATATACAAATTTAATCATTTAAGGGTATCAAAGACAAAATTTAAGTTACTCTCATAATGATACCAGAATATAAGATGAATATACATATAATTTCACGTTTTCTATATATACTTGAAAGTGATAACCAACTTCATGTTATTTCTGTTATTACTTATAATATTAACTAATCAATCTGCCATAATTTTTCTTTATTTCAGGCACTTGTACCAAAATTCTGTGATGTGGATCATTTGCTTGCATTATGTATGCACATGCCTCGGCAGGACAGCAAGGAAGTGGCCGAGATACAGATGAAATACACCTTACTACTTAAAACTGTACTTGAGATATTACCGACTCTTAAAGTTGTTCTTCAGGACTGCAAATCTAAGTTCCTGTGCAATGCCAGAGAGGTATGAAGTACAAATAAATAAATAAATGATATTTCAGTTTCTCATTGCACTCAGTATTAAGGTTATAGTCTTCTGGGATATGCCACTATATAGCCTCATTGATAGGTACCAGTATTCCAAATGAGCTTGCTGCTTACATCATTAGGTAATGTATAAACCATATGGGGAAAAATGGTACAGATGACTTACCCTCCTACTTTGGAGGTGGAGGTGACAGGTTCCAATAAATGCTAAACTACACAATATTGCGTGGAACACCAACTGTCCTCAGTTTTTGTGGTTTTTCTCACTCACTTCAGGCAAATTCCCAGATGTTACCTCTAATTAGGCTACGACCACTTCCTTCGATGTCTTTCCCAGTTTATTATTCACTGTTATCCAATCATAGGAGGCAGGATATGTCGGTTGGTATAGCAATGGGTTACGGGCTGGATGACTGAGGTTTGATTCCTGGTAGAGGAAATATTTTTCTCTTCTGCACAGTGTCCAGACCAGCTCTGGGGCTCCACCCAGCTTTGTACCTAATGGGTACTAGGCCCTCTTTCTCTGGTGGGGGTTTAAGTGGCAGGGCCATGAAGCTGACTACTCACCTCTACCTAGTGCCAAGGTCAAGAATGGTGGAACTATACCTCCACTCCCAAATATGTCTTCATAGCATGGTACTTAATTAAGCACAGGGACAACTTTGCCATTTTTACCTTTTTATCATCCAATTATTCTATGATGTAATTAGAGTTACTCATATTGTCTTGAAATACTGTACAAATGAATAAATAAGTATGATAAATGTGTAGCATCACATTTAGAAGACCATAATTTTTATAAATGGATATATTTGTGTGAACAGTAATTAATTCTGTACATGATATTTGGGCTAACAGTCATTTCTTTGCAGTGTCTTGCTGATGAACGCTACCAACTCGTTCACTGCAAAATCTTATCGGTCCTGTATGATGATGCTCGTACTGCAAAAGGGGCAGAAGCTTCTCAGATGCAATGTAATTTTGCTGTTAAAGCAGGTATCAGTGGGGTTTTGGACCTAGCCCGACGAACTTACTGTGAAATCGTTAGTGATATATCAGGTTAGTTTTATTTACTTTGCACCAGAAATTAAATGCCATGATTACTATACTAAACCAGAATGATACCTATTTCCTCCTTACGTACTACCGCCATATCATGGAGAGGAAGTTTATGTGTCTCAGTGATCAGAAGAGCTATGCTCGTCGGGGTGTAAGCTCCTGGTAGGGCCACCCATGCCACACAGGTCAAAGAATAGGGGCCAGAAGAAACTGTCTTCCCTGGGCCCCAGGTTGAAGTTTGGGCATGAGGCTAATGAACCCACCCTGGAAAGCTCTACTGTTACGAAACCTTGGAGGAAGCCAAGATCCACCCAGGGTTATAGGGCCAGTGAAATAGAAGAGGAATACCCATTTAAGATCCAAAGGAAATTTTCTTCATATGTTATACAACCAAATTTATTATTAAATACAGTTTAATTATGTTATTATATTTTAAATGCAAACACAAAGATAAGACCATAATTATACATACTTATGTGGGGCAGTGATGACCAGTGCATCTGGTCATAACATCATCAAAGGGACCTAAAAATAGTGTTGTTATAAACGAATGTCGTAACCGAAATGGGCACTTCCACGGTAGCCTTATGTTAGTCACGTAAAAATCTACCAAAAACTGAGTTAAAATGTTGCATTTTTTAGTGAAATACGTAGTTAAGTACAGACTAACGTAACATTAACATGGAATTGCCCAAATGTGTAATATCAAAGACATATTACAGCGTTTTTCACTGACAATACACACAATATTTCATGAATCACTTTAACTTTCCCTTCAATGCTTAAAACTTTCCTTTTCATTGCCATGTTTTCGCTACTGCACTTCTCTGGGTTTAGGCAGGAACACTATAGGGTAAGTAGACAATGTGAGGTCCTGTTAGATGAGATTCTAGGAAAGGAATGCAGTTAACAACCTGCCGCGTCCTCTTGCACTATTCACGCAGTCCCACCCCACACCCTTGTTTTCGCATAAAAGCCACGCTCCTCTTGCAGCCCGCGGTCGTATTCTTCCAGGACAGTCATGTCAGCAAGTAGAGAAAGTGAGGGTGGGCAGACACATCGAACTTTCCCACGATATCAGAGAAATTCAGGAATGAAAATGATGTTACATACGAGGTTGATGCATTTGTGCATGTCGTACTAAGCAAGGTATAAAAACAGTTGCTTTATGAGGAATTAGTTCGTACCATTGAATATTTGATGCAATAGACAAGGTGTCGCAGAAACCGATGTTGCTATAACCAAGTTTTACTGTATTCCTCTGCAACAGTGGCTGATGTTCAACAGGCTACATGACATTATATCCTAGGATGCAGAATGCTTCATAACCACTGCTGTAAGAACCTCAGATCATAACTGTTAGTCTTGTCTTACTGTTCTACCTTGAAGAATGAGACAACAGATTTGTCCGAAATACGTGAAAAAATAGCATGGGCGTAGAGAAAGGGAGGAGGAACAGGGCTGGACTCTTGGTTGACCTATTAGTCTCAGCTTGCTCTTCTGCCCTGAAGAAGGATTTAGCAATTTCCTCTGAAATGCTGGTAACAATCTATTAGACTACACGGTGTCACATTCCAGATGACAGCAATCTTCTAATCATAAATCTGGTTTCTGGTTTCAGCTCTTGTGGCACATTTAGCCACTGAATACAATTTACCACTGAAAGTTAATTACAATGGTAGCTGGGGTTATCATATTCAGCTTTCTCAGAGTAAAAGGTACATCAGAGAATCAGATCTGCCACCAGTCTTTGTACAGGTAAGTAATTATTAATTTATAACAGGAAAGAGAGATAAGGACACTGTTGCTAGAGTAATATGAGTATATACTTAAATCATGTCTTAGTGGCCTCTGTAGTCTAGGGGTAACGTTCCCACCTCGTGACTCAAGCTATGCAGGTTCAAACCCGGCGGAGGTTGTGGAATTTTTAAGGGCGAAAAAATTTAGGTAACAAGTCCTCCGGGAGGGACTTTAAGCCGTGGGTCCCGTGTCGTAGCTTTATGGCACGTAAAAGAACCTCATGTCCCAAGGGGACCACTGAGCCAAATTCAGGACATTTCCCGCCCAACAGTAGTCTCTAACGCCTCTGGTAGATGGGGGAAGCATCAAGATATCGCTGAGCCATTAGAGGCCGAACTCGCTGGCTGAGCCGGGACTGATGGCACGCACCAGTACCGGCAGGGAATAGAGACTGGTAGAATATCATAGGGGGACGCACAATGGACCAATAGTTGGTCTAAGTGCATGTGGAAACCCACCCTCTCCAATACAATACAATAGATCATGTCTTGACACTGTTTATGAAAATATTCAGTATGGAATCAATGAGTTAATTTTTTATACTTACCATGTAGTCTTCTGGGTTTTGATACCGTGTAGTCTGGAAAATGGTTAGCAATTCTTTGAGGGAACATACTGCCTCAATCTTATTCCCTGAAGATGGAGGCAGTATATTCCTCTGGACATTGGTACCCCCTTACCAGACTACATGGTGTCATAACTCAGTAGACACAGTATGAATCTTCATTCCTTTGAAAACCTCAAGTCTTATACTGTATACGATGGGGTACCCAAAAGAAACCGAACTAATTTTTTTGTGGGCAGAGCTTTTGTAGTACCGCGTTTTGCCGCTATGAGCGCATAGAGCTAACATTCCTGAGTCGATAAGCTGACTACCGTTGCTTCAGAAGGTAAGGACTAGTTTCGGCAGAGTTTATAGTGACAACTGTTTT